ACAAGAATTGTGGCCTTCAGCATATATGAACAATAGAAAGCTTCCTCACATTTTGGGGTAAAAAGAGAACTAAAGTGATTCAATCAAAAGCAAGTAATGCAAAAAAGAAATAATGGTATAATAATTGTACAAATGAAAAGTTTCATAAACATGTTATGCTATAGAAAGTGATAAATGAGTACCTGGCGTGTACCAACTTCAAAAACTATCATTACCATACATCTCCAAGTTGAATCTATCAAAATCGGAAAATCACCTCAAAATTCTTCAAGTTACTGGACAAAGATTGAGTTCAAACAACAAATGAAAATTATTATAAAAATTAATACTATTGTTATTTACTACTACAAAGCCTTAGTGAAAGTGGAAAAAAGGAGGGCCAAGTGAAATAAAAATAATTCACTTGCGGAGCCTAGAAGAGCGTGTTAAGCAAGATCTACCGCTCTAAGTACGCTATACCAGAACCAAAAAAACATGACAGTAACAAAGCAGTTCTAATGCAGGCCTCCACTTATCACTGACACACCTCATTTACACAACTAAACAAAATTACAAACATAAAAATTTCCTCAAGCTAATAAAAGCAAGCTTTTTGGAAAAACTGGATGAAAGTGAATAAACGAGTTGAAAAGTGAAGCTTTGAGATTTTAGAACAGGTCCAATTTCAACTTGCTTAAACAACAATCAACATATAGCCTAAACTAACAAACTGAAAAACAATAAAACATTCTTTTTTTACGTTGTAAGCTCGACGCCTTTTATTTACAACCGTTCCACTTTTTTTGGATAGGCCAAATTCTTTCCCTTCCACCTTTGCTTAAATCTCTTCAAGCTCTAACCAGAATTAATCACCTAACCACACTTTTGGTAAACGTGAAACAAAACAAGTATACTATATAGTAATGTACAAATCATGTAAATGCACAAAATAGACAAGTATGAAGAAAATGTACAAATACACATATAGACATGTTTACTAAACTTAAAAAGCAAAACTATCACGATGTAATTAATATCAACACCAATCCCCGACAACATCGCCATGTTACTGAAGCAGTAAAGCGATAAGCAAAAAGTAATAGGTATTTATTACCGGGTGATATATAGATTATATCGTATCATCTCCACAGGGATTAGTGCGAGGGAAAAACTACCATTCAACGATTTTGACTCTCTAAGTTTGGAAAAGGGTTTACGGAAGGTAAATGCAGGAAAAGTAAATATAGCAATTAAGAAAGTGATACACAATCATCTTGCAATCTCTCAGCGCAATACATACAACACTAAGATATTAAACTCTGATACCCATAATGATTATTACCTCTAAATCTATCTCTAGCATCTAGAAACTAATAGATATCATTCCCTAACCAAGATTCATGAAGTATATCTCTAGAACAACTCAAACTTCAAACATAAATGCAAAAAGGTCAAGAGAACAACATCAATAAAAATTTGTAAAGCAAACATATATACAATCCCATGATTAACAAATGTACATAAAATAAGAGTAAAATCCACATACAACACCCACCATTAGAATGATACATAGGGAAGAAGGAGATAAATATGAAACTTCTAGCGGTGTCAACATGATCCGAGACAACCCATAGCCAATCCACAAGATGCACCACCCAATGATGTTGGATAAACCTCTAAACTACAAAGAATTAGATCAGAGATCCTCCATGAGGGAAAGAGATGATAAAAACCAAGAAAAATATGTTTTCAACATTAAATACAAAATGCAAAATCACATATCACGCTAAGCGCAACTTCCTTATTTAACACATCAAATCATCTAAAACTGCGCTAAACGCACTATCCGCGCTAAGCGGGCTCTAAAACTTCGTTTCTGCCAAATCTGTCAAAACACTCATAGCGCACTACAGTTCCCACTCAGTGCACCCGCCTGAACATAACTTCTCAAAAATGGACTTTTATTCCAAAAATGCGCATCTGGAGCCATGTCTTCGACACCTTACTCCTAGATGCTCCAAATATGCGACAAATACATAGAAAATAAGTAAAATCTATCAAACGTTACACAAATGAATCAAAAACACAAATATATACAAACTAAACGTATTTACACAAAATTCAGGTTTATTCAACCGATATTAACATCAAAAAGTCGATAAGTGCAACAAAAAGTATATACAAAAATAGCTATAATTTGCACTTATCAATAACAAATGTTGTTTTCTTGTCACCACATGGAGTGGTTGTGTTTCAAAGAATGTTCATTAGTTTATATTTCTTTAAGCTTGGTTTATCAAAAATTGATTGTTTGGTTAATACTTGAAAAGTAAAATTACAGAAAATAAACTTTCAGTGTTTCAACAGTGAGAAAACTTTATTGGGGTTAGACTTTATTGACTTATTCTCGAGTAGAATCCTTGGCCAGTAATGTGCAATTCTAATCAGTTATTAATATTACCATTTGTTTCTCTCATTGCAGATCATGTTCGAGTTAACGACGTTTGATCAATTGTATTACCTAAATCTCTCAGCCTATTAATCAATACACCAACATTAAGTTTCAATAGTGAATGGATATATCAATCTCCAATTTCCTTAAATATTGTTATTCATACACATATTAAACCTAAATCTATAATAGACCTTAACATCCAATAGATAATAAACTTGAATCTAGTAATGACCGGTACCTTTCAAATATCAAGTCATACCACGAAAACATATTTTAGGCAGCTCATTTAAAACAAGCATTAAGAATGACTAATCCATTAATATTAAAAATTATAAAGAATTACATAGAATGACATGATCGGGATCAAATCATAAGTAACACGACAACTACATATATACCCTAATAAAAGAGAAATTTAGTTACGCTTACTCATATTAATTTTACAATTAAACCCTAGAAGAATGAAGTTGAAAGAAGAAGGAAGTTGAAAATTAGTTACGCTTTCTCTCTCGATCTTCCTCTTTTATTCTCTCCTATTGTGATTTCTAGTGAAAACTTAGATTCATTTAGGAACCACCTTGAATTCTACTGAATGTGACCCAATCTTCTTGAATCAAATGAATTGAATATCTCTAACAAAGGCACCTCTATTTATAGGATTGAGAAATGTAGGCTCATTAAGCTCACCACATAAGCTCGCTTAGCGTGCCTACTATCTTCTTAGTTAAGTCATGCCAACTACCTTAGGCCTAGACTTTCCTCCTATGCTCGTTAAGCGAATCACTTAAGCTTGCTTAGCCACTAAACCCTTGCTTCAGCTTGAACTAATTTAACCCTAAAGTCTTTGAACCTTCTTAGCTCTATAAGTGCGTATGAATTTCCCGGCTTAGTGAAGATGCACCTTTGATTGCTAAACATGCCTATATTATTGGTTTACTGAGTCTCAATTTATTGAGAAAGTTCTTGACTTGCTCTCTTGTGTTGTTTGTTGATTTCTTGGTATTTTTTTTATGTATTTCATAAATGCATAATTAAAATGTCCACACATGCATTTTTATCATTTTCACTGTTAAATTTGGGGGTTTTCATTTGATTTCTTATAAAACAAGTTAATAAGTACCTATTTACTTAACATATTTTTGACACCTGTCAGGACCTTAATCAGAAATTAGATCTGGAAGCTATGTTTATCGACAAAGATCAAATTCTTATTTTGGCTCGCTTGTCACAACTTTGTTCTTATTTTCTCTAATTCACCACCGCAACATAGTCCCGTTAGCTATGTGCTCCATATATGGCCTAGAAGAAGAGTCATTCCTTCATTATGTTCATGATTGTAAGAACTCTATAAATCTTTGGATGCATATTGGGTTTAACTACCCATATTTTTTGTCCAGATAAATATGATTATGTTTAATAAAAATTGAGATTCATGGTGTCCGTCATAACCTCTTTGCTGTAGGAATCTGTTAGGCATGAAGAAATTGTAACACTACATGCATATCACATGAAACCATTTATATGTATCGCCTCTCCCTGGATGCCCACTTAATGGTAGACTCCTTCTTTAATTTCTTCTTCAAACCTCAAATCGAGGCATAACGAAAAATCATTTTATCAAGTGAAACTCCCTCGACTATTCATGCATTATTATTAATGTAAATGTAAACTGCAATGACACGCCCACTCGTACTGACTTTGGCCGTGCATTTCACACTTCATTTGGAACTTGTCAATAAGACTTCTCTTGATTCATCTCAAACTATTTAGATATTCTCCACACATAATTTTAGGCCATCCACAAGAGCTCTCACTAGGAAAATATATGAACATTATTGATTTGACATGTTACACATACTCATTATCTAATATCAGTCTTATCACAACCACTTTGAATAAGTACCATAAATATGTAATGTTGATCCAAAATTTTAAAGATAATTTGATTGAAAATATTTTCTTTAGACATCTTTTGTGAAAACAATCAAAATGCTAATTATATGACAAAACTCGACACATCTAATAAATATCTCCTAATTGACAATTCTCCTACGCTGTGATTAAATCAATCATCCTCACAAATGATACTATAGAAACTTTATTGGAAAATTATTTTAGTTTTCTTTTCCTTTACTTTCTTTTCTACCAAACAACCGATAAATCAACTCATTTTCTGCTAACTTTCTTTTCCTTTAACAATTCTTCCTCCCCCTTTATTTCCTTCAAGTTTCTTTCATAAACCAAACAGACTATTACATACTATAGATTCGAATCTCTCTAGGGCATTTAATTCAAACCCTACTAGTATTCTTGTTTTATTTTTAAACAACTTTTTTACTTTTTTGAATTAACTAATCAAATAAGAAGAAAAAAACCGTATGCGTCGGCAAAGAAATTAACAAAATCTGTGGCATCTCTCTCTCTCTCTTTCTCAAATACGTTTTTCTCTCTCTAGAATCAATCCGTGGATCTGAAAGAGACACCCTTTGTGAGGAACAAGGAGAAAGAAAAACCCAAAATCCTTTCTTCTTCTTCTTTGCTTCCGCAATCTTCACATAGCAGATTTATGGATAACAGGTGCAAATCTGGTTCACAGCAACTTCGTTTCGTCGCTAAACTCTTCCATCAACAGCTAGCTTCTGGTTTTGTACTTCCATCGCTTTTTCAACCCTTGGATAGATCCATTCCTGGCTTTCCGTTTCAACGTTTTGGCCTTCACAAGTAGTATTCAACCTACCCTCTTTCTTTCTCCTGTTATTGTTTTCTGAAAAAAGGTTAGATTTTTTCACCTGGGTTATCTTCTTTTCACTCAATTTTTAAATTTTGTTTCTGGGTTTTGCTTTGAATTATGTTTGATCATGTACACTTGTTTTGAGATTATTGAGCATACTTTTTGTGCTGTACTTGCTTTAAAATCTATGCATTTTAAATTGGTTATTCTTACAGGGTTTAATTAAGCACTTATAGTTCCCTGCTTATGTATGAACTACTTCTATAAGCTGTTTTCATAAGCTATTCCTAAGAGATTATGTAAATAAGCATAAAACAGCTTATGAACATGTGGTAAAGACATATCAGTTCTACCAAACAGTTCTTAAGCTTATGTCGGTAGATAAATTCATATAAACCAATTCAAACGCGCTTTGTCTTATGGCATGATGATGCTTAATGCTTCTTACAGTAGTTGACTTTAGCCTTTTTGTATGGCAGGTTTCTAGATTGTGGTTTCCTTAGTTCTTGTTCTGTGTATGCTGCACAAGTCTTCTGACAGAGAGATAAGTCATTTCTGCTTGAATTATGGTGTATGGACCACGATGACCGTTTCAGCCGGATCATCCCTTAAGATGTCGTGGTCCAGGGGAAAACAATCTTCTGGTTGGACAGCTTTTGATCTCAAGCAGAAAAACAAGAACAATATCGAATCGGAAGTTGACAAGGATCCTTTCCCACCTATAGGCTCATCTGGTTCTATGCAGCATGGTGATAAGTTAGGCAAGAAGAAACATGTTCCCCTGAAGCCTTTCTCTTCGGTACTTGTACCTAATGAAAATTTCCCTTCTCTTTCAGAGGGTGGGAATGGCCAAAAGGCGGTGTTTGGTTATGATTCTGATAAAAAATCTTGTGGAACTACTGCTCAGGAAGACGTTAATTTAGTTGCTAAAAAACTCAAAGAGCAGCATCCTTGGGCTGAAAATAGCTTGATTGATGATATCTTGGCTGCCGTTAATAATAGTGTTGATAAGGCTGTGGCTTTATTGGAAACAATGGCCTCTGCAGACAATTTCAAAGAATGCAAATTGTGGAGCTATCTTCACTCAAGGCCAACTAATTCTAAGACGGGTGAAAGTCACACTTTAGAAATGGTCAAAGATGACATTCTATTTAATTCTAGTATTGTTGATCGTCTCCAAGATAACGATAAAGACTCGGAGAATAGAAATTCTTCCTCAGGTCAGAAGTTTTCTGATGTCAGTAACCTGAAATACAAAATGGACCTCTTGAATTCCATTCCAGTCGAGCCTGAATGGGAAGAGGACGACATCTACAGCAGCCATCGAAAGGATGCATTGAAGACAATGAGGTGGGAATGCTAACTCATGTAATCTTTCTTGAGTTGATATTATCAATTTCTGTATTGCTTATTTATCAGCATTTTCTCAGGTTGTCACTAAGCATCTAGATTTTATTTTCCATCAATTAAACAGGTCAGCATCACGACATTCTAAGGCAGCTGCCAACGCCTTTCTAAAAGGCGAACATTTTTCAGCCCAACTACATTCATCGAGAGCTAGGGAGGAATGGCATAATGCAGAAAAACTTAATTCTGAGGCAGCCACTAAAATTTTGAGTATCAGGAATAGTGATAATGATATCTCTAGATTGGATTTGCATGGTCTTCATGCAACCGAAGCAGTTCAAGCATTGCAAGAGCATCTTCGTAGAATTGAAAGTCAAGGCTTCTCGAAAAGCTCAGCCCCTTCGAATGGTGTGAAGAAGAATGGCCGCGCACATTCTCTAGGATCTCTTAACTTCATGGAATGGGAAAATTTAGATAAGCCATTAAGGCTTAGATCATTAGCTCTACATGTCATAACAGGTATTTTGGTGTTTTTTTGGATTCTGCCCCCAGGTAATTGCTTTTTGATGGCACAGGCAGATACGGAACATGTGAAAACATTGACGTTAATGCTATTTATTTTAAATCTGTCTGGGAGATCTCCTAGCCTATTTCTTTTCTCTCAACAATTTTGACATTTTCAGAAGTCTCCAACTATCAACAGTTGAGATATGATGTATTGTTGCCCCTATTCAATGTTTTTTCTGTGTCCTTCATATTTTCTCTCAGACATGTTATAGAAAGTAATATCTGATAAATTTATGTGCAATGTAGTGAAAAAATGTTGCAATTCATTGCAAAAATGTGGCAATTTTCTTTATCCAAAATTGAAACATTGTACTTAGGGTATTTATTTCTGTACAGGCGTTGGCAATCATAGCCGAGGACAAGCTGCTCTTCCTACAGCTGTAAGAAGTTTTCTCAGTGAAAACAGGTGCAACATAATATCTATACTCATACTTCCTTTCGTCTGCACTTAAGATGCACTACACTGGATTGGATTACAGTATGTTACTCATTAGATTGGTGATGAAAATTTTATATCAGTCCAACAGTTATATCATACAGTATAATGGCATACCATTTAATATGATTCTTGCATTGCCAATATCCATTACTTTAGTTCAATCCTAACTTTTGTGTAACTGAAGAAAAATAGGTGTAAGGTTTACACTCGCTCTCATTATTTGATCATTTGTATTGATCTGCAGATACCGATTTGAGGAGATGAGACCAGGAGTAATCACAGTGTGGCCCAAGTTTCGGCAGAGTTGACAACAGTTATGTTGTCATACCATGGGAGTATTCTTGTGGGGATCTGAAAGTTTTTATGCTGTGTAATTTTATCATGTACTTCATACTGGAGTTACTATATCACACTATGCAGTGGGGGAGATTTAATCATACTTTGGAAACTATGTGTAATTTATCCTTTTAAAGGGATTATATTCATGGAGTATTATTTATCCTTTTTTAAGTGAATTTTACATGTCCGCTCTGTTGGTATGTCTCTAAATGCGTTTGACCATTTCGCCCCTCATGCTTGAGGGGTTGTAACTTGTATATATGTCTGGTCTATTGTGTCGGATCATCGAGAGTCGAGTTGTAGCCCAAATATCAATTTGTCCAACAGGCCAGGGGTGGACTGAGTCAGCTTGATCATGTCCGTTTAAAACTAATTTGGAGGAAATATTTGGACTATAGACATGAAGGATAACACATTTTTGACCATCGAGTTGTAACCCAAATTCGATAGAGCTCACCTCGAATAGCAATTTGCCCAATTGGCCAAGGGCGGGTAGGTTCAAAAACTAATTTGAGGAAATATCTGGAATAAAGACATGAAGTATGACACATTTTTGCCTGATTGAGAGCCTTATGGTCTATGATAGGGCTATCAAGTCTGATTGTCAATTGCCATTAAGATCACATTAGTCATAGACAATCACCTTATATGGTCTTTAATGGAAATTGAGTACGGAATGTGCCAGAACTATTATATAATGAGCCAAGATGTGAATGAATTACTATATAAGGAGATGATTAAAAGGGAAATTGATATAGACAAATTACATAATAAATAATTGATCAAGAGAAATGATAAGATTTCACATATTCAAGCTCTATTGTCATATGAAAATTATACACATATTGTCACTCTGCTTAATGTCCTTTGTTGATAGAGTTATCATTAATTTATTTTTACTTTTACGAGTTCAAGGTGATATTCAAGCTGTAATGTTACACTTAGGAACAAATAATCATATAATATGGTAAAATCATTATTCTCTCTTTTATTTATAATACTATTTATAATACTTATGTATATCTTAGAATATTTTTATCAAAGTTGGGATGCGAACTCAGATAGGGAATGTAATACGAGTCAGTGTACTAGACCATTCTTAGAAATCAAATCCGACTATCCAATCGGGTCATAGTCGAATATAAACTCAGATCCAGCTATGCAGGAGAAAGGACCGGGATATAGTCTTGGACCGATGAAGCACGCATGCAACCGGGTAAAGGCGCAACTTGATTTACAAGAAATCGGACCCGAGGGAATGAAGAGCTGTAACCGACGGTTGATGACTAACACTTATGGGATACATTACAAGTGATTAATGGACGGTTACAAACCTTACAAATCTGCTTAATGGTCAAGAATTACACTATAAATAGGGACTCCCGCCAGAGAGATAGGCAAGACATTCATCTTGGGTCAATACACATCATTATCGTAGCACCTGAATCCCCCAAAATCATATAGAAATCTACCATTGTGAGACTCTCCTTGTTCCTACAAGAAAGTCACTAGTTTAGTATTTTTACGCAAGTGAGAGCCAAGTACGTGTCCTATTAAACACTTTCCTTCTTAAAAATGGGTCGTAGTCTGACACTCCTTAGAAATGATTCGAGTCCTATTAAACACTCTCAGTTTTAACGGGTCGTAGTCTGACACTCCACAGAAACGAGTCGAGTCCTATTAAACACTCCCCTTCTTAAAATGCCGTAGTCTAAACACTCCTCATACCAAGAGTTGAGCAATACATCGGATTCGAGTTCATACTCTTCGGCCCCAAGACCGAGTAAGCTTCACTACCAAGGGAAGTTATTACTTTACCCAATAATCTATGGTCAAACTAAATTCTTGGAAGCCTCTGGAATAAAATATTCAGCCAGACTCGCCTTCAAGGCGCAAAGGACTCGAAACCAAACAGGTAATTCCAGAGAGGCAATTCCCAAAACATAATAAGCGCATTGACCATTTCACTTGGAGCTTCTTACCCGAAGCTATGGATAAGCGAACAAATACCTAACCGACCTCAAACAGGCTTGGGGATCTTAAACTAAAAGGAATACCTGTGTTTGATGACACGAAAAAATATAGTATTTTCCGTCTGAATTACATAGATTAAATTCTCGATTCTTCAATTATTATGTCACATTTTATCCCTTTTTGTAGTTTTTGAATTATATTTCAGGTACTTAGCATTTGCAAGGCATAAATAAGAAAAGGGAGCAAAAGAATGGAAAATGAAGAAGAAATGGTTTTAAATACATCAAAAATGCAGTTCTGTACAAGAGATGCGTGCCGCCCGCCACAAGGCCATTACGACCGACATGATTTGAATTAGTGTGCCGCTCGACATGCTCACATTACGACCGGCACACTTGTGGTTACGTTCCACAATTCAAGCAGTTACGAAGTCTTCGCCAGTATAAGCATATTTAGCGCGCGTCACCTGGATTTTCTCCGCATAAACAATGTGAATCATGAAAGTTACCTATTTTTCCTCAACAAAAATGGATTCTATATTTAAGCAAGCAGTTACCAATTTTGAGGCACTCTCTCGTTCCTGGTTCTTTTGTTTTGATTCTCTCTAGCCTGTACTTTGAACAATTACTATTTACGAAGTTTTATTTTTTCTGTTTTTTGATACCTTCTAGTTTTAGAATTCAACATTAATTTTCCGGTAATTTTATTTAGTAGGTAGTAAAAACCTCACCGTCAGAGCAGTATTTTTCCACACCAGAGAAATACTGCAACATTAGTTTGTTTCCATACCTCCAGAAATTGTTTAGAATTACTCTGATTTCATTCGAGCTATTTTACTTAAAGTCAATCCTGCCGGCTTGTGGAGGACACACGCATTATTGGAATTTACTGCTTTGTATTCGCTTTCAGGTTCTTATTTTAATAAGCATATTTATTTATTCTCTGCTATACATGCATTGTCGAATTTATATTTTAATTTTATGATGTTCTGCAATAATATTATGTTTGGCTAGATTCCCTCTACCGGTATATAGAACTTGACCGAAAAGGATCCGGTAATTTAATTGGCGTTATTATTTTTACAAAAAGAATACTTTTTTGGTTTTAATTTCCAATTGAATGTTTAATAGTTTTTGTACGGAAGTAAGAAACAGTCTAAGGTTAAAATTCAATAGAGCAGAAGTTTGAGGTTTTTATCAGACAGTTGTTATTGAAACATTGATTTTAAAAACAGCGAAAGCGCTTTAAAGTTAATTGAATCTTATTTGTTTTCAAAAAATACTTTTGAGTTTTAAATGAAATAGCGGAAGCGCTCATTTCGAGCTTAACTGATATGATCTAATTCAATAGAACGGAAGTTTGAGACGAAGGTTTTTAAACAAATAGTTTCACCGAAATTGTGTTTTAATACTAAAAACAAATGCCAATGATGTACATAACCCCTTAAGTTAACGAAATACATACCGATGTCCTCCATTAATTATTAAATTCTAGTTAATTCCCAATTAAACCCAAACACCCAAATTTATTATTAGCCTTAGTTCTACATAGTAAGCTTTAGATAACAATAGTTTTTGACTATCAATCCTTGTGGGTTCGATATCTTTTAAAACTACGCGATAGAATGTGCACTTGCAGTCACTACACCCAATAGACTCATAAAGTTGCAATCAAGTTTTTGGCGCCGTTGTCGGGGACTGAATTAGTCGAATACTGTAAATCCCTTATTACGCAGTATAGACTAAGACAACTAATTTTATTTTTTATTTTAACCGTCAGTTGTATGCCAAGCACTCGCTCTAAAGACGAGGAATTATAGCAACCAATCAACGGAGTCGAGCATTTTGTTAGCATAAGACGTCGAATCAGAGAGTACCAAGACAAGTACAATCTTCCCGAAATCAATCTTCCTAACTTTTCTCTTCCTGACCCCAAAATGGATGAAGGACCCCAAAATCGTCCTCTGAAGGATTATGCTGCCCCATCGCAAGAGGAACCCCACAACAGTATTGCTGCTCCCGCTATCGCACATAATGATTTGGAACTAAAGCCTTCACTTTTGCAAGCCGTTCAACAAAACCAATTTTCAGGATATCCTACGGACGATCCAAACCTTCATTTATCTGTGTTTGTGCAGTACGCAGACACAGTGAAAGCAAATGGAGTCATCCCTGAAGCGATAAGACTCTGTCTTTTTTCTTTCTCACTAAGAGATAGAGCTAGAGCATGACTCCAGTCTTTACCATCTAACTCTGTTACCACATGGAACAAATTGAAGAAAGTTTTTCTAGCGCGGTATTTTCCGCCGAGTAAGACGGCTATGCTGAGAGCTAATATAAATGGTTTTAAACAAAAGGAAAGCGAATCTCTTTTCGAAGTATGGGAGAGATACAAAGACATATTGCGACTCTGCCCGCATCACGGTCTAGAGGAATGGTTGATCATCCACACCTTTTACAATGGTCTCTTGTACAACACAAGACTAACGATTGACGCAGCTGCTGGTGCTACACTGATGGATAAACCACACCATGATGCCTATCAACTTATCGAAAGTATGGCTCAAAATCACTATCAGTGGGGAAGAGATAGAACAATGATGGAAAAATATCCAACGAAGAGTGGTATGCACGAAGTTAGCAGCTTAGACCAAGTTAATGCTAAGGTAGAAGCCCTTACCCAAAAGATAGAAAGCTTGACCACAACTCCCGCAGCCACCGTGGCTGTAGTAACTCCAACCTATGATCTATGCGGACTTCACACGCATAATGCACCCGAATGTCCAATTTTAACAGGAGTACCAGTTGATCAAGTGAACTATGCTCAAGAAAACCCTTATGGTAATAACTACAACCCTGCTTGGAAGAACCATCCAAAATTTTCATACAAAAGCAATAACGCTTTGTACGCCCCAGGGAAAGCTCCTACTACACCTCCAGGATTTCAGAAATCCACCAAAAATGTCCCAAATATCCCTAGGAAGTCCAACATCAAA